TTTAATTTGTTTGATGAACCATTACTGCATTATTGCATTATTGCATTAAATACAAGCTCTCAGGCTTTAATTGTTCAACAATTTATAATAAATCATGAATTCTACCAAACACAATCAAGCTGTTTTAGATTTAAACTCTTCCGATCCAACTGTTCGTGTGAAAGCTTTACGCTTTATAAAAAATAATATCATCGGGAATAAAACGAAAAAAGATCTGTACATCGGACTTAATGTTATTCCAAAGTATACCTTATTATCTACTAGAATTATTTTTATGAAAAATATATACGATACTTAATATTTGTATTTGTAACGTCTTTTTTGTTATGCTCAGACTTGTCACTTTTTTCATAGAAAATGAGAGTGTTGACCCTCAGATTCAAATTCAGGCGGCGATCGTCTTGGGTAGCTTTGCTTATGGTTCGGCTTATTTTTTTTATTCAACTCAAAATATTTTTGAATGCTGTGCAAAATTTAAAAGATCTTTTCTTTGTCAAAAAGGTGGTGAAGAGAATGTGACAGAGATAGTTAAGCATGAAGCTGTTAAACCCTTGTTAGAATGTATATCGTCAAAAAATGATCCTAGACTAATCGAAGCGGCTGCTCGAGCTCTAAAAGCTATTTATAAATGCCCAACTGCAGATAAAAATGACATATTTCAAGTAAGAATTATCGATAACTTATTTATTTTGATATTTTTTTTTTTTTTTTAATATTATTCTGTTATTAATAAGTAATTTCATAGGGTTATCACCTTCAAGACCTTATTACTCTCCTTGACCCTGAAGCACTTAGTCCGAAAACAGATCGCGAAAAGATCGCGTCGGTACATACTGCTGAATTAGCAGCGACTATAATTGCACGTTGTTGTGATACCAACGAACAGCAGATCCAGATTGCACAAGCTGGTGCCTTTCCTAAATTGGTCAATTTATTAACTTGTGGGTTTTCTAAAGCTCAAGAAGCCGCTTTGGATGCGCTTGCGTATCTTTGTCGTGAAAACTCTGATTTTGGCAAAGAAATCGTCAAGACAAAATGTATGTAAGAATAATTTAAATATTCATGCGCTGTTCAAAAGTCATACTTTTTTTTATTTTTTATTTTTAGCTGAAACAAGTGAGAACCCGGTCAAAATCATGTTAAATTTGATTCGCGATAAATCACCGACAATGCGACTAATATCGGCTAAATGGTATACGATAGTTAATGTTCCCATATTTATTATATTAAAGTTCTATATGTTCTAATCAAACTGTTATAATTATTTTTGAAGCTTGACACATCTATGTCGTGCGAAAGCAATAGATGAATATTTAAATGATATTACGTTAGCCGTATTACCAACTTTAGTCAAATTGCTTGATGAAAAAGGTCCCGTCCGTGAAGAAGCTCCACATGTTTTAGGTATTTAATTTATTTTTTAGATTTTTTTTTTTTTTTATATATATATGTTATTTTATCTTCATATATTCTTTTCTGAATTTGTTATTTATTAGCTTATTTGATTCGTGATAATGAAGAATTGCAAAAGGCCGCTTGCGATTCAGAAGCTGTACCAAAATTGGCTGACTTTGTTACCCATATCGGTGATCAGAATGGTTCATATTATGATCCTTTGGGTGACGGTGATAAATTGAAGGAGGCATATCTCATTCTGAATTAATATTTGAGAAGATTCTTTGTATATTGAATTAATCGAAATTGACAATAAAACTCAGAATGCTCTAATGGCTCTTGCGGCTATAAGTTCTTTGACCGATGAAGGTCGGAAGCTGGTAAAGACATTGATGCTGATTATAGTCAAATTTACTCTAAGCGTCGGCTTGACCACAATGCTCTTTTGCTATAAAGGTCGTTGATGCAAAAATAATCCCACATATAGTTGCAGGAATGTCGCATCGTTCTTATGGAGTTCGTGCTGCTGCATGTCAATGTACTCGAAGTCTCTCAAGATCCGTCTCAATATTACGCACCAATCTTGTGGATGCAGGAATCGCAACGCCTTTATTTAAAGTAAGGTTTATTGCAGTCCTGCACTTAATTGTTTGCATATTTCATAAAATTTGAAAACTTACAGTCTGCTTATAAATATTTAGTTGTTATCTGACGAATCAACTGATGTGCAAACCATGGCATGTGCTACGCTTTGTAATTTGGTACTGGAATTTTCACCTATGAGAAAGGTATTTAAATATACATTCTTTTTATCATTTTTATTTAATTTACTATATTGAATACATCTATTTAAATATAATAGCAAATTATGGAACAAGGAGGAATAGAAAAGTTGGTTAAATTGGTGCATTCTCCAGACAACACATTAAGACTTAATGCTATATGGGCATTGAAGAATTTGGTTTATCATGCAGAGTCTGAGGTCAAATATAGAGTGATGGAAGTATTAACATATATAACTATGGAAAAGTAAGTAGAATCATAAATAACTTGTAATAAGAATTTAAATCAACTGATATATATTATATATCATTTAGATTAATTGAAGATTCAGAACTTGATGTACAAGAAAAAGCATTGAATTTGTTGAGAAACCTAGCTTGTCCAAAACCAGAAGTATAAACATTCTTAAAATTTTTAATTAGTATTTGCTTAATTATAAGTAATAACATCACTTATGTTTTACTTAGGATATCGAAGAAGTATTCAAAGGGTTGACCGAAACTCGATTGATGAATATAATAGAAAGTAAACTTTGTTCTTGGAGTATCGAAATTATTAAACAGGTAATTTGATTATTCATTTTGATATAACTTTTTTTAATATGGTGCATTAAAGTATTCTTATTCTTGAACAGATTCTGTTTGTTATCAATAATATTGCTACTGGCAATGAACGCCATAAAAAAACTATTATGGCAAGAACTAATATTTTGACACATATTAAGAACTACATGAGCCACCAAAATCCTGAAATACGTGTTGCTGCAGTGTGGTGTCTTATAAATCTGACATGGATGGAAGATAGACATAGTAGTAAGATATTCTCTTTTATTGATTTCGCAACGTTATCAGCTTTTTTGATTTTGTATCTACGGAATAGGTTCCCAATTGCGCGTTCGAGAGCTACGTCAGTTTGGTTTTGAGGATATAGTAAAAAATATGGCGGACGATGAGAATTTAGATGTTCGTGAAAAAGTGAAGATGGCTTTAGTACAATTTTCCCAAGTGTAATTGGAGAATTTTTATAAGCTATTTTATTTTCCACTTATTTTTTTATGTGTGTTGTTCGAGACTTGCTGGCAAGACAACTAGCGATATAATCATCTGTGTAAGAAAATTCTACGTGAGAAGGTCGAAAACCATCATCCGGTATTCATGTAATGTATATTTTTATTTTAATATCATGTCATGCATTATTGCATTTCTTGCTTATTTCGATATCTGAACACTTTTGAGATTGCATGGATTTTGATTACTAATTCTACAATATATAGTAGCATCTGAAATATTTTTCATATACAAAATTTAATATAGATAATAAAAATAATTGAAATGATATATTGTTAAATATTAATGATTATTATTGTTACATGATGGGCTTATATACTGTATTGATAAACTATAACATTAAATAAGTCATGTGGATTTGAATGACAACCAAAGATAGAAACTAAAAAAAAAATTGTTGTCTCGTGGCGGATTCGAACCGCCGACCGTCTGTGTGTTAGACAGACGTGATAACCAACTACACCAACGAGACAATTATAAGGATATTATTTTATTTTTTTAAAATAATCCTATTTATAAGTCAAATTACAAGATAAACCTACTGTCAATTTTTTTAATGTTTAGTGGCAATGTATGCGTGTAACTTTAAAATTATTGTCTGGCATAATATAATGTTACAAATTTTTAAACATGAATAAATTATCAAACTTTTGCCGACCGTACATTAGAAATTTTAAATGTAGATTTGAAATTCAATTTAATATGATTAAAGGGCATGATAATTAGTCTTAAAGCAGTATCATATCAATTCATAATCTCAAACAACGCGCTAACACTTTCACCATTGTGTGTTCTCCTAATAGCTTCAGCGAACAAAGGAGCAACACTAAACACATTCATTTTAGGACATTGCGCTAGATGTTCATCTTGTGGAATACTATCACTCGCAAAAATTTGATCGATATTACTTGCTTGAATTCGTTGAATGGCGTCACCGCTCATGATTGCGTGTGTAATAATAGCGTAAATTTTTTGAGCACCGTTCTCGTGAAGAATCTTTGCAGCTTTAGTAATCGTATAAGAGGTATCCGCAATATCATCTATAAGAATGCAGATTTTATCTTTAACATCACCAACAAGCATCATATCAGTCTTATATGGCTTATTTTGAGATCGGCGGTCTTTATGAATAAGAGCAAAGTCCATTCTAAGTTTCTCTGCGATTGCTGTAGCCCTAAATAACAAATAAAAAATTATTTTGGATGATTACGTATACAAAAGTAAGTTACAAATAAGTTACCATTAAGCAACAATTTCCGATAGCTTATAATTTCACGGTCATGCTTTTTTTGGCTTACCTTTTAGCACCACCAGCATCTGGGGAAACAACTACCGCTTGCTCCCAATTTAAAATGTTTTGCTTTATGCACTTAATCATCAAAGGCTGTCCGTAAAGATTGTCAACAGGGACATCAAAAAAGCCTTGAAACTGAGGATCATGAAGATCCATTGTCATTATATGGTCAGCACCTGAAAAATTGTCATGTGACAGTTCAAACATAAAGAAAATATATTACTTGCGATAACTCATGGAAATAACATATAATAACCTGCACAAGTTAGAAGATTAGCGATGAGAGTTCCTGAGCGAGCAATCCATTGTTTATAACCTCCAATACTACGAATTCCATTGCCAGATCGGGACGAATCAGTGCAATTTGAGTACGAACTTTGACCTTCGATTTTATCCAATGGATCTTTAAATTCTGATGCGGGCGTTACTGGCGCAGAGCTATCATAAGGATTTTCAAAGTTATTACCTCTAAAAGCATTTCTAGGGAGCCGTGATAAAGGTGTACCGTCTTTTTTAAAAGGAACGTCAGGCTGTCTTGCATATGGAAAACAAGGTATCACAGCAGTGATCTTTGCGGCCGAAGCAATTTTGCACGCTGAAATCATGATCAAAAGTTCCATGAAATTGTCGTTGACATGCCCACAGCCTGATTGGATTATGTAAACATCTTGCTCTCTAACACTTTCACGAATTTCTACGTTGGTCTCTTTATTTGAAAATTTTGAAAGTGTAACACGCCCAAGCGATAACCCCAAACGAGAGGCAATTTTACTCGCTAAGTCTGGGTGCGAAGAGCCCCCAAAAATGACAATGTTGTGCATCAGAAAATAGACTTCTTTCAAACGAAGTACAGTAGTTAATAAAATTCAATATCTAATCTGCGTATGTAATTATCACATGACACCGTTACATAGTTTTCGAACATTCCAGAATAAACCACATTTTACAACAGTGATTTGAACAAATATTTAGAAAAAATGTTTTTTTAACTAAAACATTATTAGAGAAAAAATGATTTTATAAATATAAATATTGGTTTGTACAGCCATTTCACCGAAAATAAATCTGTATCCAACACTAGCTATCGCTACGTATAAATCTGGGTTAGATGAAAAGGTTGTTGATGAATACCATTTATAGTATAGTATTCTAATTAAGAATTAATTTTAAAGAAGAGGAATTCAATAAATATAATTGTTTGAATCTTAAGGTGCAAATTATCTAGTAGCATAAATAGGACCTCCCGCAGCAAAAGGAGGGGGATGGGTCAAAAAAATAGTTTTTAATTTTATGTTAATTATATTCTAATTAATCTAATTTTTTATGAATTCTTTTAAAAAAATTTTTTTTATCTTATCCCCACTTTTTGCTGTTGGGGGTTCCAAATATGTGTCACTTTCTACTACCAAATTATATCGAGAAGAACATATCGAAAATATCTTTGATGATACAACACATTAAAAAATAACCAATTTTTGGATGCCTTTGTATTAGTAGATAAAATCAATTTATTCTGCTAATTCAGTAGATTTTTTAAAGGATTAACTTAGTCGATTCGATTAAATTTTGGCATGTATATACTGTAGATAATCAAAATTTTCGATAAGTTTAAATAAAAATGTTTGGTACAGAAGAAATAAATTGTTTTTATTATTACATCACTCACAGTGCTATAGCACTATAATGCTATAGCGCTACAACAATATTCCCAACTAATAATATATTTTTATCGATGCTTGAAAATCTAAAGTTTGAGACTAAACAATGCTTGAAATTCATCGATTCCAATCTCTACTACATACAACCGATTTCATATAACACAAGAAAAACTTGGAGTAAAAAGTACAATAACTTTCAAAAATTGAAATAGGTCTTTACTTATTGCTCAGCTTATAGAGTGTGCATTGTAGTAAGTTTTACAAAGTTATAGGAGTTTAAAAATTTATAGGCGATGCAACTTAAAATTAAAACAATTAAACAGTTAAAGTTTCGTGCATTATGCAAAAATTAATAAATACTTTAAAAGTGAATATATATTACAGTAATGCATAAAAATACATTAAACAAGGAAAGTTAAACATTTATGACCACAGCCAGTTGGACACTCTTCATTACAACTAAACCAATCTTGCATATGAGAGTGATGACCTCCGTGACTACAACCTTGACACCAAGTATATAAACCTTTTACCGTAACGTGACTATTAATTAACACATAAGTAAAATATAAAATTGATTATGTACCGTAATAAAACAAGAATAAAGTAAATCTAAACAAACCATAAAGAGCATAAAATTAGTTTTTTACATCTTGCACATAGCCAATATTCGCACATTGTATCATTTATAGGTTTAAAACAATTAATGCATGTCGTATTAATCAATGTGGATTGCTTTTGAAAATAATCAAGCGAACTATTAATAAGTCGTGTAGAATGAAGATATAAGAATTATTTTATTTTATAAAACAAAAACCTGATTCAGTATTCCAACAGTCGTATTATTACAATATTTTATTACAAAAGTTGCAGCGCACCAAAGTTGAAACCGATGCAAAAGATCTATAAAAAGAATATAATTAGACAAAAAATAGAATTATTAATTCAGGTATGACAGTATTCTTACCAACGTATGAAAAAAACCATTGTTCTACTCTTTCTTCATTTATTTTAAGTTTGTCTCCAAGCACTAGTATTAAAGTTACACACATCTGTACATCACCCTAATAAAAATAAATTGTTACTAGTCAGTTTTTGTCAAATTCCTTTCTACAATTGTCATTTATTCGAACCTGTTCTGCATAATAATCCAATAGTTGTGACATTATAGGTTCTTTGTCCCATGAAGTAGACTTGAACTCTGGCTGAACAATTTGATTAGAATAAGGTTTTTCGTAATGATCAGGTTCGTATTCGGAAGGTGGTTCACTTTCCGGGTCAGAAGTCGAATCATCATCCTTCAAAATAATAAAAATTTAAAAATAGAGAAAATAAAATTGATATTCTTAATAATAATAATAAATGCCTTACGGGATTTATGGGTTTATCTATAGCGTTGCTATTATCTTTTAAAAAATCGTTATCTTTTGCTTCGCTTGGTGATTTAGAATGTGTAGCTGATGATAAATTTTTTAAGGGAGGTTCTTCTGGCATTTCCTTATCTGAAATACATAAAGTACAATTAAATTTATGAACAAATGCAAAAAAAAAAAATGATTTTGAACAACAAGTTACATACCTTTGATGTTAGACTCTGCCTTGTTCATTTCAGAAAGCGTTTTCTTTCCGTACAATAGTTGGACAACTTTCCATGTCTGAGCAGTTCGGTATCTTTGCACATCCCAAGCGACCTAAAAAAGCAGTTACATCGAAATTGTGGATTAAAAAAAAATAAAAAATAAAATAATAATAAATAATAATACAATTGACAACTTATAAATATTTACCTTTGCATTATGATCACACATATCCCAAATGTCGGAACCAGAGGAAATATAATTTATAGCAAGGTATGAAAAAGATTTGGGGTCAAACGTTGGAAGAGATACAGAACCGGTTTTTTGTTGTAATTGGTAGTTATCCTTTAATAAATAAATTCAACCCATGAAATAAATAATATGAACGATATAATATAATAAGAATGTAAATCAAATAAATATTAACTTCATTACGAGGTTCGATAACACCGGGAGAAGTTCGTCTCTGCATTAGACGAAACTGACTACTTGATGGCATTGATCTATTTCTATAAATTTAAATATTAACCATCGTCTTTTATTACGAATTGATTTCAAAAGTTACTTACTGATCTTCTGAATGCGTGTCATTGGATTTCTCAATAGCAAACGCTATCTGGTCATAAACGCTCCAACCAATTGCACATTTACTTAACAAATCTAGCTGATGATAAGAATATCTAATATCCTGCTGAACAAAAAATTTGTCCTTGGAACAAGACCAAAGTACATCAGAATCATGCCATAAAAACCCTAGTAATAAAATAAAATAAAAATGAAAACAATTTTGGGATATGTATTTTTTAAAATTCAACGTATGAGACCTCATAGCAAAAGGTGGCTTTGGGCCATTTTAAAATTTGATATTCTAATAAATATATCTTGTGATCAGTGTACAAAATTTGAATTATCTACAAGAACATCTATATAGTAGATTTTTGAAATTTTATGTTCTCACATAAGTGTAACCTGAGATCTTTATGCTCTCAGAGAACATTGAGAACATTGAATTTTGCACACTGTTTGTGATCTAGTGATTAAAATCAAATAAATTTTATAATACTTAATTCCTCTCAATAAGAATCTATTTTGAGTATCAAATTTCAAATGGCCCAGAGCTACCGTTTTCCCATATATTATAATATATATAGTCACCAGTTGGAACATCTGAGTGCTCTTCAAAGAAACAACTTGCGATATAAGGTCTCTTGATGTTCCACACAAAAATTCGATTATCTCCTTGCAACGAACAGGAGGCAATTTCTGATTGATTATTGGGCCGCCATTGGACACGTGCTACACTAGACATAGTATAAATCGTCCCTTTTGGTCTTATACTAGAAGAACACATATCCCATATCTGTCAAAAATAAGAAATATGAGTACTTAAATCTATGAAGATTGATTTGATACGGACACTCCATATAATACTTTAATAGCCTTATCACGTCCACCACTAGCAACGGTTCTCCCGTCAGAATGCCAGTCAATCGCCAGAACTGGCCCTATATGTGCATTTAATTTGCGATCATTAAGATTTGGTTTTTTAAGATCCCATTTCTTTATAATAAGATATAAAAATTTAATACTATTAAATATAAATAATTATAATTATATTTAATAATAATATTGTTCGTACCTGGATTGTTCCATTTTCAAATGCAGCAACAAATTCATTCATACTTGCTGGATTGAATTGCACATCACGAACACTTTCACATTTACCATCAAATGTCATCATGGGTCTTGAACAATACTCTCTCAGATCCTAAAAATAACATACCCCAATAAATTAACAAGCAATGCTAAAAATTTAAAAAATCTGTTAATAAAATAGTAGTAATAAACCCTAACCCATAATTTCATTGTACCATCGTGCGACGCGCTTAAAAGCAAATCACCTTGCTTTGGATTAAAACATACTCTATTTACAGCGCGGTCATGGGCATTTATTTTTTGTTCTGAAATTTGAAATTGCACTTAGATTCATATTATGAAATAAGCTGCCAACTATATAACTTACCATCCCTAGGTTGACCATTTCCCACATCCCAAATAGAAATTGAACCAGTTGTCGCAGCGGTTGCTACTTTATTTCTTGTGGCTAAAATGTAACCAATACAATTATTTCAATTCCTGCATCAAATGAAATGTTAAACGGATATAAAATAAAATGGGTTCACCGGATGTGCTAAATCTTTAGGCGAAAATCGCAACTTACAAGAATTACCCCATTTAACATCAGTAATATTACTATTTTTATTGCCATGCCTAACGTTGAGATTTGATTCCTCGGTGATTTCACGATCAGATACATTCAAAATTTTCAATACTGTATTTTCAATAGAAGGAAAACAAGACGTTATTAATAGGAGAAATTTAGAAATGTATGTTTGTTTGTTTGAAATACCTGAGCTACCCGCAACGATAACTTGATTTGAATCCGGTGAAGACGATAGAGCAATTAATGGATTATTAAGTTGATGTTTCTTTACATAATGTCCTAAATCGTGTCGTCCCCCCATTTGTGGCGCTTTGGTAGAGCTACTTCCAAAGTGACAAAAAGTAAAATCAGACAAATTACTTGAAATACCAGAATCGTTCGTCGAATTAGTCCAGGTTAGCTTTGGTATAACTTGTTTATATCGTTCTCCCATAGTTTTAATGATAACAATAAGCTTTAGTATAACATAATTTAGGTAACTAGTTTAATAATGATACGTAGAAAATGGATATCATATGACTGGTATTACCATTTTCTGTACATATCTTTATTACTTTTGATTAAAGTTTCTTAAATTATTCAAGTACAACCATTATTTAGAATTATAATACGCGACTTCCTGTAATACTCTAAAGCGCGTTTATGGTGAACGCGTTCTACTCTACATTAATGAACCGGGACTACCAAATTTAGCTAAGTGTCGATCAGATAATTGCGATGGTAAATTTTAAATCATACTCGTATATACCTTCTCTATTTTAACGACAATATATTAGATATAATCAATCAATATATTGAACTTAAAAGATTTATAGATCAATATAGGATAGTATGAAGATAGATATGTATGCAACCGTAGATTTTTATATTATTATGACAATTGTGCATATATGCAGCGAGAACAAGCATTGCCTTATTTTTTTATTTTTTTAAGAATGAATCATTACAACAGATGATAACAACACATTTTAAATAGTATTTAGTCAAAGAGACCGAATCCCATGTCCTAATTAAAAATATTTGAGTGAGAACATTGACAAGCGACAATTAATAACAAATAATAATAACGTGTAGATAATTAAGTTCATAAACGAAATTTAAACGTACTTCATCGGATTCTTCTTTTTCTTCCTCTTTAGCTTCCTCAACAGGAGCAGCTTCAGCAGCACCGCCGCCAGCGCCGCCACCTCCAGCAGCACTGGCTGAAACACCACCACCACCAGAAGGGACAGATGAAAGCTTAGATGAGCCCTCAGCGATCAGCTATATAAATGCCAATCAAAAATAAATTAGAAATATAAAATAATTTAATAAATGACACATGATAAGTGGACTAACCTCATTGATATTTTTACCGTCTAGTTCAGAAAGTAAAGTTTTAATCCTCTCATCATCTGTCTCAATACCAACACTATCAAGTAGAGCCTTGATGTCTTTGGCCTTGGGATTATCTTTTCCAGCAAGGTTAAGCAATAAATAGGCGGCAAGATGTTTCATTATTGTCTATAATGTATATGAACATGTTTAAAAATGTACGATATTTTATAATTATCCATATGAATGAATGAGTATTATCATAGTACCTTTGTTTAAATTTTCGAGTTTGTCGTAAAAGTCGACTTTTTTTTTCTGCAAAATCTTTAACTCGTTTTGAGAACAATTACGCTCCTACTCGATTATGGATGCAAAAAAAATTATTTTTCCTCTTTTATATACGCAAATTAGAACTGGGTGGTTACTTTTAATGGCCAATGGCATCACACATTATCACGTGAATTAAACTGAGTTTCACAGAAACATAACCTTAATCCCCGCAGGAAAATTTACAGACCGATTAGTAACGATTATAATCATAAAGATTTCAAGCGAATACCAACACCAATAACACCAACTACCGACTTTGATCGATTAAGAAAATAATCCAATAATTTCAAACTAGAATAAAATTTTTTTATTATAATAAATATTACGTTTATTGATCTATTTAAAATAAATAAAATGATTGCGAGTGAAATAATATAAAAAATGTTTATACGTAGCGAATATACTGAATTATAATAAGTAATTTCTCATGTTTTTATTGGTTGGATCGACCCTGAGTCATGATTTTCTTTTGATTTGTATTACGGAATGTAAATCCCTACCGGCAGTACCCTCGTTTACAAAGACGCAATGGTCGAACCTGATCCAACAACGATTATATGGAGAGACCTAGACTGGATTCTCGCGGTAAATCTGATTTGTCTAGAACTAACTTACTTACTGGAGCGTGATTCAACTTAACATTCCTAAATTATAGCAACCGGATGGGTTAAATTCGGATAATGTTTTAAGTTACTTTGAAATGTCACCATTTTGGGATCCACAATGTAATAACGCTAGTTTGAAAATGCAAACGCGTTTTAATGATTTAAAAGATCTTACGATGCTTTTGAAGTAAATATATATATATGAATATATTAGTAGTTTTCGAAAGGTTTATACAAAGAAATATGCGTAATTTATAGGAAAATGAAGGGAATTGAATTCCAGGTGGTGCACGAAAGGCCTCCAGCTCTGTGGGTTATTCGAAAGCAAAATCGCCTTGCTGAACGGGAAGGTTAGTTTATATATAGTCATTGTCTAATATTTTGTTTGCTTTTATTTCATTAAATTCTAATTTATTAATAATAAATTTGCAGTTAACTTAGTTGCAACATATTATATTTTGAATTATAATATTTATCAAGCACCAAGCTTATATTCAATCATCGGAAATCGAGTTGTAAGAAAATTTCTTTTTATAATAAATAATAATAATAATAATAATAATTTTACGTACTTAACGTTACTAATTAACTACTCGAATTATTTTACAATAGTTGACAAGCCTTTATCAATTACATCTTGCATTTAATACAGCATATCAAAATGTTGAATTTCATCCTGCTACTGGATATACATGGAAAGTTGGAGATGCTCAGACGGGGACATCAAGTAGTAAAAATTAATATACATATATGATGTTTTATCAAAAGATTTAATTTAATATTATTATTTATTATTCGAAGAATCTCGAATAGTTCAACAAGATCCTGCCGAATTATTAGAATTTCGTAATGGAGTAGAACGTGCATTTAAATCTACTAGAATTAAAATGACTCAACAAATCAATCAAGTTTTCGCACAGTCACAAGAGAAAATACAAGAGTTGACTGCTGGAAGTCAAAATGATATGATTGTCTCTGAAGTCCGTTTACTTGACACTTTTATAAGTTAATTGTTGTCTTTTTCTATTATTGTTATAAAAATAGCGTTTATATATATTCTATTATGATTATATTATTAAGCAAACTCCGAATCAACCGCCTGCACAGCCTTCAAGCCCCACTCAACAAAGTGCAGGTATATATCTGATATTAAAATTTTTAAAGTCGTTGCCTGGTTTCATGCATTTATTCATTTATTTAGATAATATTACCAAAAGACGCAAAAAGAGTGAAGATATTGGAAAAAAGAAAAAGAAGAGTATATCATGATATAATGTGAGCATGCTAGTTGTATTTTATTTTTATATTGTTAATATCTTATTTTGATGTAGAAATCGCTTTGTTTCTATATATTTATATAACGAACTACGAGTAAAATTCAAAATCTAGAATGGTAAATAGATCTGGTAATAAATTACATTATATATAAAATAATATTTATGGTTGCTTATAACTCCTTGTGGTTTACCAAGTTGAATATTTATTGTTGCTTATACAGTCAACCCATTATAAATGCATTCTCCCTTAAAATAAGCATCTAGAGAGGATGTACATTTATGAAAGTTCGAAGTTTGAAATTGAACTCTGAGTTTTATCAGAAATGGTATATATTGCACGCGCATTTATGAAAGGTTGACCGTAATTGTAATTTATAATTCTAAAATTTCTAAATGGTATTAACTTGCAAAATTATGTATTTGTATTTAAACTTTATTAGAAAAAAAATTTTTTTTAAAAAAAGGCAATTTTGCATTAAAAAAAAAAAAATTTCAAATAAATAGAAAATCCAACTGATATGTTCAATTTTATAAAAATTTCAGAACTTACCATAGTTCACATCATAGACTAGTTCAAAATTTGGAGTTCCAATCAGAGTGAAATCAGTAATGCTAAAACGTATTACGAATTATTGTCACTGTTTTTAATTTTCTGCTCTTTCAAATAAGTCTCTAGCTCATCAAGTGTAAAAGGCAATCCAGATGGCAATTCGAGCACATATAATCTCATAATATGACGTGCAATATTCTCCATATGTATATATATGTTAAAGAAAATTATAAATAAAAAAAAACAAATTAATTAACGGAAAGATTAATTATTCAAGGATATCTCCGAGTTCAGACTCAAATAACTCCCACCATGCAGGTGATGTGGGCAATTTAACTTGAGCCACACGTGCAGCTAACCAAATCACTGCACATGCAATGGTTGGTGGTTGGTAACATACATAAACGTTTGTTCGTAATCTATATTTAAAAGATATTCAGTAATATAGTAATATATCTAACAGTCTTTGTATATGAATTTGATTAAAATGTTTATACATGCGAGTCATTTAAATATCCCCAAGCCCTTTGCGGAATAGTCTCATGTTCAGTAAGTTCCAAAACTTTCAAGTAATTTACCATTAATCCATATGGTAATTGTACATGAACGTTAAATCCCAATTTTTTAAGTATCTGCATCTCTGCAACTGTTAATGCGTCTTTCATTTCATATACCTCCTAAAATATGGTATTTTGACTAGAATCTATAAGAAAATGGTTCAAGTAAAGACACATTTATTGTCGTAAAACAACTAAATAAAAAAGAATATTTCATTCACCGAGCCAAAATATTCTAAAGGTTCCACGGGTAAATTACGATAACGTCGTATCAAATAATGATAAACATTGATCAAATCGCGTATTTTACAAGGAGATTCTTGCACCTTAGAAGCAAGGAATAGAGAGCCCATGCCTATATCCTAAATTGTAAATATAAGCGTTTAATTGTGTGGCAAGTATTATAACAAAACACGATAATCATTAATAACATAAATATATGAACTCTAATAGAAAATTTCCTCAAGGATTCCACATAAAAAAATCGTTGGAAAAGTACTTGTGCGGTTGCCATTGCTACCTGTGGCCTATTAATTCTTTTATAAGCTGTCGTATATATAAAGTAAATAAGAATAAATCGGAAATAACATTACAGTCGCAAAAGAATTCCTGCTGACTGGATCATTTCACAGCCAAGTCTTCGCAGATTGTCCTCAAGATCTTCAGGAATCTCATCAAGTTTCGAAGGAGTAGTTTCTAATTGTTCATAGGTTAAAATAGCGTTTTGTAAAGATAATTTTGACATTTTGAATAAAGCCATGAAGTAACTCGAAGTTATCGATATCAATATATGGGGCCTTTTGCAGGAAATGTTTAGAAAATCACGTTTTTGTATTTATTGATCTGATAAAAATTTATTCGATAAGTTTTGAAAGATTGATTGGATAAAGTCACGTTCATTAATAGAACTTTATATTATAACTACCCACAAATTAGCGTTAAGGTTTCCGTGCAGCCAAGAACATCTCAAAAAATTCTGCGCGAAGTTCGAGAAAAAAAAAAAAAACCAAGTTTTCAAAAAATCACCAATAACTCTTATGAATCCACTTTCACTTTTACTAAAAAAATTCTTTCAAAATTTTAGTATGTATTTATCTTCGTGACTTTAATATTGAAGAAGTAGATACTATGCTTTGACGTTTGTGCTTTTTAACTGTTAAATTTGAAGAGGTTTATTTGATTGGTACATTTTATTTCTCGGGTAACAGTGTTCACAAAATAATTCAAAGAGAGCGTTGTAAGTTATAAAAACCAATTCATATCGATATTGTCTTTTGAATTAGAAGTTTGTTTCTATTGGTCATTGAAAAGCAACTATTACACAAATTTTATAACGATAATTAGGAGTTGCGAGTAGGGTGTCCAGGATTATGATCCGGTAAATGCCAAATTATGCGAATTATGCGATTTTTGAGTTATTAGCCAATAAAATTCAAAAAACACGACAAGTCAGGTGATCACTG